AACATGTGATTCTTTACAAACACCAATTGATACAACAATAACAATTAATGATAATGAAAATAATTTCACTCTGGTGAAAAAAAGAAAAAAGAAGATTAAAATAGATCTGACCAATTCTAAAACTCCAGGTTCTGATACATCATCACCATCGTCGACATCAACATCATCTTCTTCCAATTCATCATCTTCAATTAGTATCAACGAATCAACTTCTTCAACAAATACTGATAGTCTCGCTTCAGCTAAACAAACAACTAGAAAAACATCAACAACAACAAATCTCAAACAAGTTCATTCAAGTCAAAAATCTTCGGAACATGTTCAACAATTTCAACAAATACAATCAGGTAAAGCAACAACAAAATACACCACCCAAGTTCACGACCTTAATCTACAAATAAATGAAGTATCTGAACAAGCACGTAGATTCGCACAGACAAGGTATACCTTTCCTCCTTATATATTAAAATTTCAACAGGTGGTGAATGAGAAATTAATAATTAAAAATTTAATTGAACATTTTTCGTCCACTCACAATTTTGATCTACAATTTGCTGGTCATCGTATGAAGGATCATCGTGAATTATTATTATTTGTCCTGAATCGGGAAACATTCCTGATGCTTTATGAAAACAGGAACTGGCCAATTACAATCAACTCAATCGATTATCTTAAAATTAGTCCAAGTCATTTACCACCGCAATTTTCGATTATGTTAAGAAATGTTCCACTTGATATAGATATTAATGAGTTTGCATCATTAATGAAGATCGATTATCCCGATATTATGAATGTCCATCGAATATCAAATAAATTGAAACAACCAACATCATTTTTACGTTTGGATATTAAAAACATTGAGACAATAGATGAATTACTAAAAAAAAATTCATCATAGTTAAAAATGAACGTTTTCCAGTTAAAGAATATATTGCTCCAGCAAAAGTCTTGATATGCTCGAAATGCTTTCAAATAGGACATTTTCGTGGTACATGTAAAGGTATTCTTGAATATTGTAGGTTATGTGGTAATAGTGTTCCAGATCTCAAACTACATAAAGAATCATGTGATAATCAATTATGTTGCATTAGATGCAAAGGGCAACACGATGCTAATGGTATTAGATGTCCGGAAGTTAAAGCTTATCGTGCAGCATTAACAAAATCATTGTTAACCTCCACCACATCAAACACGAACAACAATTACAACAACCACCAAGTACACTCATCTAGTCATACAAATTTTCGTTATAATGATCAAGACTTCCCATTGCTGAACCACAATTATATGAACAGTCATTCGAAAAATAATGATCAAGTTGATTTCACCAAAAGAATTGATGAATTAGCTATACAATCGAACAAGATCAAGAAGAACTTAAATCGATTAATTGAATTAAACAACAATTTCGTTGTTCAACAAAAGAATATGCAACATCTAATTACTAATCACGATCGTATAATACAGATACAACAACTAGATTTAGGCTTTCAGAAAGATCTAGTAAATCATTTCATATTACCAGTATGGCAAGTACTTATCGAGTTTTTACCTCTATTAGTTCAACAACAGTTAATTAATGATACAACATCATCTTGTCAATCGCTAACAGCATTATGTACAAAACTTGGAAATGACCTCACATTATGGTCTCAGCGTTCAACAGAAAATGAAAATGCAAAAAATAAATTATCAATGGAACTTAATCTGAAGAACAACCAACAAGTTCACCAGAATTACCTATCATGTAGTAACGCCCCACCACCACCTACTAACTAAGAACTCAGGCATCAACAACAACCATTACGAAATATGAGTTATCCCCCCTGGCCCCCGAATTCACCCCAGACGTAGAGGTTTCAAGGAAAAAGAATTTCGATGTCGAATATGCACTTGCTATTGCATCTTCCTATTTATCTAAATTTGAATTTGAATTACTGCTACAAATTACTAATGAGTGGTTCTCACTTCCCACTCCGGTTTCTTGTTTCACCTATTGGAAAACCTTTGATCTTTCATGTAACTATTCTTATATACCACAACTAGGTATACTTCTGTTTAATGTACGAGGATTAGATGAAAGATGGGAGGAGGTGGTACTATTAATAGAGAAATACAAGATCGACATTTTGATATTAACAGAAATAGGAGCATGTGATATAAAATTCATGAAGAAAATCTTCACGAATCATAATATTTTTTCCCAGAAAGGTGAAAACGCATGGGGTGGTGTAATGATGTTATTTAGAAAGAATTTCCAAGTTAAAAGAATAGAATGTAAAACCCCTAATATTTGTATAATCGATGTCAAACTTGAACAAACTATTCGTATAATAGGTATTTATGCTCCAAAGAGTAAAACATGGAATTGGAATGATTTATCTGAACATATAAGTGACCAATGTTGTATCCTGGGAGACTTCAATATTGATCTTGAGGATAAAGCAGATGAGAAATTGACGAAGGATCTACTAGATTGGGCTGACACATGGTCCTTGATACCAGTTAGAACAAACACCCCCACCTCGATGCGTTCTGATCGAATTATTGATTACGCCTTTTCGCGTAATACACCCTTAACACTACAAGACTGTTGTGAAAACACTACTAGTGATCATAAACCAATTATTGGTTCACTCAGTTATGAAAGTAAAGAAAATATAAATGGTAGTAACACACATTGGAAAGTATTTAATAATTTTCTAGCTCTAACATGGGATTTTTGGGAAGAAGAAAGCAAGTTCTCCTCACAAGAAGAATACTATCGGAATTCATCACACTTCTTGATAGTCTGAAATCCCGGTGTACAACCTATTTCCCAATTAAAAAATACAGGGTAGCCATCCCCAGGGAATTGAGACAAAAATTATCTTATACCAGAGCCCTATCCTTCCGACATAAAAGAACTGGAGATGTAGAACTGCACAAAGAGATAAAAGAATTGAGAAAAAGCAACGGACTAGAATTAGACTCGTATAGATCTAGAAAAGCAGCAAAGGTTAAAAATGAAAGATCAATGTCTAATACATCAACAAATAGTTTCTGGTCGAAAATCAAGAAAAATTTTAGAAAGACTACATCACTTAATGCACTAATTGACCATAATAATACAATCGTTAAGAATACATGTGACATGTTAGAATTATCAGCCTCTCACTATGAAAAACTCTTTCTAGAAACACCTGTATATAGACCTCATCCTTATGTAGATAGTCTAGAAACAAGGTGGGATAATACAAACGACCCCATACTACCGGCTACGATGCTAGAACTGATGAAAATAATATTTAAAGTTAAGAAGAAACATTCCGTAGATGCTCATGGTATTTCATCGTACATGCTCCAGTATATTCCAATTAGATTTTTTGAACCCTTATTGAAAATCTTTAATGATTCGTTCAGAACCTATACAGGTCCCTCATACTGGAAACACGTGAAGATGAAACTTCTAGCAAAAAAAGATTCAATCTGCACAGTCAAAGACACTAGACCGATCTCCTTACTAGATATCTTCCGGAAAATTTTAGAAAGACTCTCTCTTAAACGTTTTCAAAAAGTATTGGAAGATAGAGGAGTCCTACACGACTCCCAATCAGGTTTCAGATCGAATTTTAGACTCCAAACGAGGGTTTTGAACTTAATAGATCAGATAGCTTCACTTATGAGCACAAGTGCTCCGGTAGCCACAGTTTTCATTGATTTTACCCAAGCTTTTGACCAACTGTGGTGGAACGGGTGCCTGGGGAAGTTATTGCGAATTGGCATTCCAAAAGCATTTGTCGAATGGATAGAGTGGTGGTTAAAGGGGAGAAAGGGGTTTATAGAAATGAACAACACTCGCTCTAGATACTTTAGAATAGAAAGAGGAGGGCCGCAAGGGTCGTGCATTACCCCAGCCATCTTCCTAGCATACCACTGTGATATGTGGAAGTTTTTGAACCAATCGCTTTCGAACTTCTTTGCTGATGATCTAGCATGTATGGTAGGAGGACGCATGGGTGTAAAATATACGTTACAATGTATTGACCTAGAAAGACGATTAAATAATATATTTGAAAATCTAGAATATTACGCCGTCCTCGCTTGCCAACTCATTAACTATGAAAAAAACTAAACTGATGTGGTCCGCTAGAGCGATAGGGAACCCCAGGTTTGACATCCACGTCAACGAACATAAAATTGAGTGGAGCAAAGAATTTCGATATCTAGATTATCATATCTCTAGTAAATTGGGGTGGGGAAAAATGATAAACATCTATAAAGCTAAAATCAAACAAAGAGTAGCCATTGCTAGTAAGTGTATGATCTACGGATCATCCTCGAAGGAATTAAGAACAATTATATTCATCGCTTACGTGCTCCCCCTTTTCGCATGGTTATTTAGTATATTCCCACTACTTACTGACTGTCAGCGAGATGATCTACCCCACTTTTTCCTTTAGCTGTATGAGAAAATGTCTGGGTGATTTAGCTTGGAACGATCTCATGTTTGCCTCTATGAGTGATGAGACATCACTGGAAGGCAGATGCAAGAGATATTGGAAAAGATATGTCTCACTTGTTTAACTCCACTGACGGCTTTCTTCTATCTGAACAACACGTTTGGAACACTTGGAGAAGGTTATGGCTACAGAAAGATATAAGAATAAAACAAATATATCGTTCAAAAAGAACAGTTCCATACACAACTACACTCGAAAAATGCTTAAGGTGGATGGAACGAACCGAAGATGATCACATCCCAATGATACCAAAAGAAGATCTCGACTTATTAGCGTGCCACCCTTCATCATTTCTTTAGCCGAAAAGCGTGATGGTTGCAGGGAATACCACGTATCATAAAGTTAAAGCGATCAACCCCCGCATCTTTTATCCAAGCATTCCCCGTTCCCACCTCCCAAGTGATCGTCGTAATGGTTGTTGTTGATGCCTCGTCGTTGGATCCATTTGTTGTTTCCTTTTCTTTTTGTACTTTTTGTACTCACTGTTGTGTGATTTCCTTCGTCATCTACTCTATCAACGTTTCGTGTTCCTAATATATCTCTGGTGGTAGCGATTTTTAATGGCTGTATGTCTTTTAGTTTGTATTCTGTATTCTGTATTCTGTACTCTCTGCGTCACGTTGTACTCTTGCCTAGTTTTATACCCTAAACCCCCTCCCATATTCTGTTTTTTTCTTTTTTTTTCTTCTCCATATTTCGTGATATTGGTTCGTGTTGTGTTACCATTGTGAGAGGTATTAACAGGCCGGGAGGCATTAAATTCACTAGCTCAAAAAAAAAATCGTATGTATAATGAGAAAAAAAAACACACAGACGATGTCCTTGGTTTTCTTCGTTCTTGTCAACAAGAGAAAAAAGCTTCGTTTTGAAAGAATCGAAATATACAACCTATGAGGAAAGATATCAATAAAATGAAATTTATGCCATGCTTCACATGAAACGTAAATGCAAATGGTAAAAAGTAATCACACCACAAATGACGTTGATGGGTTTTTTCCCTTTAATTTGTTTTTTGATAAGCATACCTTTGATTGGTGCTAGGCATAGGTTGTTATCGAGCATTGACGAAAAAATGAAATATTAACATTTCACGTCGTAGAAAAATCTAGAAAAAGAAACAACACGCATCGAATATATAAATACAAAAGGTAAATTCTGTTCATAGACATTATTCACTAATACATTGAAAATGAGTCAACAACGACGACAACGTATGACTGAAAACTATTTAGTCATATGGGTTGATGCGAATATCAATATGGAAAATGCAGATTGTCAACATACAGTGTCGCAATTACGAGGTATTGTTAATGAAGTTAAATTGTGCATTACAGCAGAAGAATGCATCACATTACTCAATGAAAACAAGGAGGAGACATCTTTCATTATCTCCTCTGGTAAACTTGGACAAGTTCTTGCACCATCTATTCATGGAATGCGAAGTCTTAATACTATATATATTTTTTGTCGCAACAAGGAATATCATAAAGAATGGGCTAAGCATTGGACAAAAATTAAAGGCGTCCACAAAACAATCAAATCCATATACAAAGCATTGCAAATAGCTGTCAAGCAATGCAATCAAAATAATACAGTGTTCAGTATAATTAGTGCTGGTGCAGATGGTTCTAGTCAAAATCTTAATCAGCTAGAACCATCATTCATGTATACCCAGATATTCAAGAAAATACTCCTTGATATGAAGCATGATCGACAAGCTATCAAAGATTTCGTCACCTTCTGCCAAGAACAATATCAAGGTAATACTAACGAACTCAAGTTAATTGATGAATTTCAACGTACTTACCATCCAACATTGGCATTATGGTGGTACACACGCCAATGTTTCACATTCAAAATGCTCAATCGAGCATTACGAATACTCGATAGTGACATTATCATCCGAATGGGATTTTTCCTGTGTGATATTCATCGACAAATTGAAAAATTACACAGCCAACAGGTCAGTCAATATCATGGGAAGTCGTTTCTAGTTTATAGGGGCCAAGGATTATCGACAACTGACTTCGAAAAACTTGCAAAAAACGAAGGCGGTCTCATATCATTTAATGATTTTTTATCCACCAGCACAGATCGTGATGTGCCCTTCGCTTTTGCTGAATGCACCTCAGGAACAACCGATATGGTCAGCATCCTTTTTCAAATGACAATAGATCCTACTGTCTCATCGACTCCGTTCGCCTCCATCCGGGAGGTGAGCTATTTCAAGGACGAAGAGGAAATTCTCTTCTCCATGCATACAGTTTTTCGAATTGGTGAAATTCGACAATTTGACAAGGAAAGTCCACTTTATCAAGTGGACCTCAAACTTACGTCGGATGATGACCAACAACTGCGTCAATTAACCGATCGTATACGAGAAGAATCTTCAGGTAGCACTGGATGGTATCGAATGGGTAAATTGCTGCTCAAAATTGGTCAGTTCAACAAGGCCGAAGAATTGTACATGGCACTACTAGAACAGGCTTCTAACGACAGTGATAGAGCATATATCTATCACCAGCTTGGATGGTTGAAAAACAACCAAGGACAATACAAAGCAGCAGCTTTATTTTACGAAAGATCCCTCGAAATCTATCGAAAAACTCTTCCAGAAGATCATCCTTCATTCGCTACTTCCTACAGCAACATCGGTCAAGTATATAACAACATGAGTGACTACTCGAAAGCACTTGAATTTTACGAAAAAGCACTTAAAATAAGAGAAAAAGCTCTGCCTTCGAATCATCTCTCCTTGGCTACTTCCTACATTTGGATCGGTCAAGTGTATAACAACGTGGGTGACTACTCAAAAGCACTTGAATTTTACGAAAAAGCACATAAAATCTTCGAAAAAGCTCTGCTTCCAAATCATCCCTCATTGGCTACTTCCTACAATAACATCGGTCAAGTGTATGACAACATGGGCGACTACTCGAAAGCACTTGAATTTTACGAAAAATCACATCAAATCTTCGAAAATGCCCTGCCTCCGAATCATCCTGATTTGGCTACTTCCTACAACAACATCGGTAGAGTGTATAACAACATGGGTGACTACTCGAAAGCACTTGAATTTTACGAAAAAGCACACAAAATCCTCGAAAAAGCTCTGCCTCCGAATCATTCCGATTTGGCTACTACCTACAACAACATCGGTCAAGGGTATAACAACACGGGTGACTACTCGAAAGCACTTGAATTTTACGAAAAATCACATAAAATCTACAAAAAAGCTCTGTCTTCGAATCATCTCGAGTTGGCTATTTCCTACAACAATATCGGTCTCGTGTATAACAACATTGGTGACTACTCGAAAGCACTTGAATTTTACGAAAAATCACTTAAAATTAGAGAACAAGCTCTGCCTCTGAATCATCCTCATTTGGCTATTTCCTATAACAACATCGGTCAAGTGTATAACAACATTGGTGACTACTCGAAAGCACTTGAATTTTACGAAAAATCACATAAAATCTACGAAAAAGCTCTGCCTTCGAATCATCCGGATTTGGCTATATCCTACAACGGCATCGGTCAAGTGTATAACAACATAGGTGATTACTCGAAAGCACTTGAATTTTACGAAAAATCACTTAAAATAAGAAAAAAAGCTCTGCCTCCGAATCATCCCGATTTGGCTAGTTCCTACAACAACATCGGTCTAGTGTATAACAACATGGGTGACTACTCGAAAGCACTTGAATTCTACGAAAAATCGCATAAAATAAAAGAAAAAGCTCCGCCTCCGAATCATCCCTCATTGGCTATTTCCTACAACAACATCGGCTCGGTGTATCATGACCTAGGTAATTACGCAGCAGCTCTTAGGGCTCTTCAAAGTGCTTTTCAAATTCAACAACAAGCATTTCAAGTAGGTAATCCAGCTTTTGCTTTAACATATAGTTGGCTCGGAAGAGTTTATCGCAGTATGAAAGATTATTCAAAAGCACTTGATAATTTTGAGAAGTGTCTCGCAATAGTTCGAAAAACATTACCTGAAAGACATCCCAACCGAGCTATTACATATAGTAATATTGGTGATGTTCATCGATTAATAGGTAATTATGAAAAGGCACTTGCATTTCATCAAAAAGCATTAGATATTCAAGAAAATGTTCAATGTAATCCTCTGGAATGTGCAACGACATATATAAATTTAGGTGAAACTTATCGTGAAATGAAAGATTATTCAACTGCATTGACATATTTTCAAAAAGGATTAGAAATACGTCAAAAGAAATTACCAAAAAATCATCCTGATTTAGCTATAATTTTTCATAATATGGCAAAACTATATTTAGCTGCCCAACAATGTAGTATGGCAATGGAAAATGTCCAACAAGCGGTAGACATCGCTCAGAAGAAATTGCCTCCAAATCATCCTCATCTGTTGAACTATAGACAAACATTTAAAGAAGTGCAAAAGAAGATGTAAGTTTATTTTTTTTCTCTGGCTGACGACATGGTAAATTCCTATGTCTTGAAGTTTCGAGCTTCTGCACATCATTATCGAAAGAATGACACTAGATAAAAGAGTATAACTGTGACGGCCCAGATTCATGATCTCTTATGTGTGGATCGAAAGTCATATTTAAACAACCAAATAAAGCTACACAAATCACAGCCTACTGTTACGTTCATCGAAGAAATTCATTTCTACATGGTATTCTATATATAAATTATATCTATATCTTTTGGATCTGGGTTAGGTTGGGTCGGGAAATTCAGTTTCATACGATATTCTATATATCAATAACATCTGTATCATTTGTAGTTGGATGGAGCAGGTTGAGTAAGGGAATTCATTTTCATACGAAAACCTATATATAAATGTTATCTTTATCTTTTTGTTTGGGTTGAGTGGATTGGATCACATAAAACTCTAAATATAAATGATAGCTTTATCTTTTGCAGTTGGGTTGAGTTAGGAAATTCATTTTGATATGATATTCTATATATAAATGATATCTATATCTTTGGTAGTTGAGTTGGGTCAGAAAATTCATTCTCGTATGAAACTATGTCTAAATGATATGTTCATGTTTTGGAGTTGGATTGGGTCATGAGATCCGTTTTCGCATGAAAATCTATATCCTAATGGCGTCTTTATCTTTAGGGTTTGGTTTGGTTCGCTCATGAAATAAATTTTAATACAAGAGTACGATACCCAGGATTTCTACACTTTTGCGTAGCGCTTTTTCTGAAAGGTTCCATTAGACATACGAGGGAACGGTCAATAAATCAATGTATTCTATGTCAATCTTCGGATTGCATTAATGTGTGTGAAGCTGTTGGACTCAATTGGAATATATAGTTTTCATTGTTATGTCTTGAAAAAAATCTTAGTTCACTCTGTGATGAAACGGCATCTGCATCTGTTAAGTGAATGTAGTCGCTAATGCAATAGGAAGATAATTAATACCGAAAGTTTTGTGGAATTTACATATTTTCTGAAGAAAATAGTGAGTCTGAGTTTTACGTCGATGTCTTCCGGTTCCCACTTTCCAGTCTCCTCCCTTTCCACTTACGGACCACAGGAGTTCCCAAGGAAGAAAAAGCGATTCCTGGTTCCTGGCAGATCCTGTGGTTCCTGGTAAATCCTGGCAGCTCCTTATGGTTTTTCGTGGATCCTTATAAGTCTTATTAGATGTTTTCAAAAATATTCGCAAGACAGTATTATTGTCTAATTTATCTCGGTTGTTTGTTCAAGTGTTGTCTTGAGACTTATGCCATCAAAGAAGGGCGGCTGTAAGTGTGAGTGTGAAGTGTGGAGTGTAGGTGTGGGTGTGCATACAAAGCAAACACCCATATCCACATCCATACTCACACCCACACGCCATACCCACATCCACACCCTACATTCACACTCACACCCTACCCTCGTCAGTTTTGTCTTTTGTATAGTTTTCTTCTGCGTAATTAAGGAAAAGAATTGGACAAAATACTAGAAATGTGGCAGAAAGGTACGGTTCACAAGAGTACCATACCACCTCTGATCGAGAGAGATAACAAAGCACTGTGCAGATTTTTTATCAAAGTTATTATTTCACCCACTGATTATTTTTTAAATATTTTTCCAGTGGTGCACACACAAAAGATAATATTCCACACGATTTTTGGTTGCTTTCTGATAACTCAATTATCACTACTGAACAACAAACCAAGTCAGGTAAGTCGTCTTAGTAACCACTCCTTCTGACATTTTAATAAAACGTTCTGTGTAGAGCTTACGGAGTCGATACTACTATCCAACAACAGTGAAAATATAATTATCCATTGTCTCGATATTCCTCTCACTGATGAAAATCCATTTTCAATATATAAATGTGAAAGTTTCACAGATGAATTTGAATTCATTGCTCGTACATTATCTATCAAAGATAAAATATTATTTTTAATCATCTCAACAGCCGTAGTCAACTACGTAATTCCATTAATACACAAACATTTTTGTATCGAAAAAATTTTCGTGTTTGGTCGTTCAGATAGTGGATCTGCGGACAACTGGTCTTTAATATCTCCAAAAATTGGTAGACATTGGGAAAAACTTCAAGAGTTACAGCGTGACGTTGTTCAAGACATCGAGATGACACTACGAGAATCACATTTTTGGAATAGATCTACGGAACTGTTTACTGAATTGTATACTCAATTGTTGAAGATTGATCAAAATCCTACCATCGATATTTCAACTGATGAACCATTAAACGAATGTATTGTAATTTTGCATTGTAGTCGTCCAATCTTGTTTCATTTAAATGACAAGTTAAATTATTGGAAACAGTTTAATGATATTGAAAGTGGTATTCAATTTATCAAGCAACAAAGTGACAAACATATATTTTTAATTATATCAGGAGGTATAATTCCCACTGTCATAGGATCGATCCTTGATGGAACACAAATTTATGCCGTCTACTATTTTCGTACTACTGAAAATAAATATCCGATTGATACAAGAAAAGTGAGCGGTTTGTTTGACAACGCTGAAAACCTTTCTTATCAACTATATCGTGACATAAAGTTTTTTCGAGAACAAAACTTTCACACAGCTCTTATTGACATGTTCTTAGTGCTTGACGAAGAGCAAAAAATTATACCTCAGTTAAATGATAAACAAGTTGCATTTCTCTCATTCAATCTTTTCGCTGATATCCTACCATATGCACCATTATTAGACTTTAGAATGGTTGACATCACAAGCAGAAGTAAAATATTATTTTATAAATTTGCAAATAAAGAAAATATCGGATTATACCTTCAAAAATTATATAAGAAGAGGGATGAAGCCAATCAATTTGAGCGAAATTCAGATTTTCTGAAAATTGTCTCAAGAATTTATCGGTTGCATAAGCAAAATGATCTGTTTATATTACAAAAACAACTTGTTGACATTCAGAAACGCGTATTGGAATCATCTGCAATCGTTGAATCGATCACTGTATACTTATCTAAGATTATTACAAGCAATACACTGGAAATGATGCAATGCGGCTGTGGGCAATTCATTAGCATCAACTTTTTGATTCTTGCTACCAAGTCTTTTCTCACGGCACGCTCTATCGCTCGACAAGCTGCAAATAATCGTCTTATATCTGTCCTTTTCGAAATCCAAGTTGATCAAGGCACACATTTGCTAGATATTGACGCTGTTCGAGTTATATTTCGTCTTGGTGGCATATTTCGTCTGGAATCAATCAATCAAGCACCAGATGGTGTTTGGTATGTGAAAATAAGTAATGCTGATACTGACTTTCAACGTATAAAAGATCAACTTCAGTATGAAATTGACATGAAATTATCATGGCTAACTTATGGCAATTATTTGCACTTTATGAAGAAATACAAACAAGGCAAGACATACTTCGAGTATTTACTCAACAGACTTCCATCAAAAAGCATTTATTGCGCTTCTGTTTATAATAATATGGGATTAATGTATATTAAGAAGTATGAAGAGGCTGAGGAAGATTACGAATACAATGAAAAAGAAGATTATCAAAATGCAGCAATGGAGGCGATGGAAAAAGCCTTAGAAATTGTCAAATCAATCGACTCTAATTCAACCACAAACGAGAGTAAAGATCAACCATACACTCAACCCTCAACAATTAACATAATGCCATCAAATGCTACTGTCGATCGTTCCACAGCGCTAGGCAACGTTGCCGACGACTATTATGAGAAAAGCAACTATGAATTAGCCATGCAATATTACAAAAAAGCAGTAGAATCATCTAGTGATGAACGATATCATCATTACTATCAAAAGATGATTTTAACTATCAAAAAATGTTTAGAGAAAACTGTGATTGATGTCCCAAAAAACTAAGCTCCTTTTTTTATGAATTTTTTCAACCATTTTAGAATTTTTAAAACTTGTTTTAGATCATTTTTTAACATATTTATATCAATGGTTATACCAAGTTGTAAACAATCGTTTATCGGTATTTGGTTTCATGATAAAACTTTATCAGATGATCAACAAGACAAAATAAAACTTTATTTGAATCGCACGTTTTATTATTATCAGGTTTTCACAGACGAGATCAAGTTTGCTCAATATATTACTAAAAAAACACTTGTTGCCAAAGTATTCCTTATTATCTCGCATGTAAAATTACATAATTCAACAATGCAGCTGGTGGAAACACATAAAATATTCTTTCCAAAAATCTATGTTTTCTTGCCGGGTGAAATTCAAACTACGCTGTCTTCCGCAATCTCAGATGTAAACGAATTATTTGAAACTATGTCTAAAGATATACTTCAGTATGCCACTGAAAAAAACCCATCAAGTATCGTTACAAATCAGACTCATTCAGAATCTGATTCCACCAACACTTGTTACTTCAGTCGTGTCCTGCCATCGATAAGTGTGTTCAATCCAAGATACCAAAAAATCATCCCAATTCGTCATTTGCCTAAAGAATCGCTGAATTTTTTGCGCTTTCTAACAATGACAGATATTCTGTGTCGAATATCATCTTACAGCTCCGAAGATTTATCAGAAATGTGGACAACTTGTCGTAGTCTGTACAAAGAAAATCAAATTCAACTTGATTATATTGACAAATTAGACAAAGAAAGAACTTATAAAGCATGTGAAGCAATTAATTACTATACA